AGAAATGTACCATTGCAAATCCTGGTCATCAGCTACGTCAGCATGAGGTACATTCATGTTCGGAACTTTAAATTTCACGTGGATTTAAAATTTCATTCTGTCAAGATTAAGCTTTTCGAATAATTTATTAACAAGTTCTTCATATCTAATGTCACTTTGAATAACAATTGATGTTGTTCGGTTCCCAAACCATTTTCACTCGTCTTCCATGTTGACGAATGTACCACCATGCGAGACAATGAATCTTATAGCATCTCCCATATCTGCATGTCATCAACACAAATAAGATTAGCTAACATGAATACTTAAAACAAATATGCTACTCGTAAGCAATATGGTCAATGGTAAACACAAAATATTCTGTAGTTCCGCTAAATTTGTAACATAATTCTCAACATTTGAAACAATATCAAGAATTACATTTGAAGTATCATTCTCAACATTTATAAAATATCGAGAATGATATGTCAGTCAGATACTTCACCATACGCATTTATCAACTTCTTCAACTTCAACCACCATTTTTATAAGAAATTTATTCCATCATTAATGTTATTGTCAATACATGACAATCATTGTAAATCAATCTATCAAAGTTATTTAAATAGGTTGTGACACCATGTTTGAGAAATACAAAACAATAAATATGAATTTGATTTTAAAATGTTCCAATAATCTTACAACATATATCTACTAATTGTTAGAAAAAATCTAATCATTCAATTACATCATATATATCACAACAACTATTAGACACAACTTATCAACAAAAATAAGATTTCGAAAAAAATTTACGTTCTATCAAGAATTGTGGATGAGATTAAATTTACGTTATATGATTTTCTTATGAATTAGAAGTATGTAAATTTTTTTTGTATTAATTGTTTTTCTATTTCATCATCTTCATTTCTACTCAAAATCATTGATCATTACCTAAAAGATAATGAAAAGAAATTAACCCATTAGGTATTACCTTGCATTAATGTAATTTCTCAATGAAACTACTTTTTTTAGCAATTTGTAACAAATTGAAAAGAAAAAAAAAAATTTATTTTTCATTGAAGGTATAAAAGACAATTTGATACCAAATTAGGCAATTTTTACAAAAGTTATCAAAATTAGACATTATTCAATTGACAAGCATGTAATTGACCATTTTTGAAAATTCTCCCAAAAGTGGAAATTCTTTAAGCGCGTGTTTTGGTATCACGTCAAGTGGACGACCAATTCTAACACTTGTCATATTTGTGTGTAATAGTATTGCCAATTTTTTTTTTTTATTTTATTTTACACTTGTTCAGAGTACTTTTGTGAAAAGAGAAACTGATTGGACACAAGGGAAATTGTGAAAATTTATTTTCAAATGACTTAAATTAGTACATGTCTTAGTTAAAATTGTCAAAATAAATAGAGAAAATGCTTTACAAATGTTTCTTTTCTTCTAGAAAGGAGGTGAAAAATCTAACTCAAACAAGCGCTGAATGTGCAATTTCGTAAATTCATAAATCAAATTTTCTTTCAGAGCACATCAAAGATCATAATATTTAACAAGAGACATGCTATGTGTACATGAGTGTACACATAAGGGTTCACATAATGTGAATGAGGTGAGACCCATGATACAGTAACGGGCTCCGCCCCACTCACATTATGTTATTCCCTATGAATCAATCTATGTATACATAGATTAATCCATTTAGAAAAAATTTGCTTGTACAGAAAAAATCTACCAAAAAATGAACAGATATGGGGTGTGGGCTCCATGTGAATTAAATATTGCAAAAAAAAAAAAA